GTTTGGGGCACAAACCGGGACTGTGGTTAGCACTGGAAATTTAGATGAAAAAGTTGCAGAGTTTTCAGACTCAAAATGGAAGGTCAAATTCTGCTTTCAGACTTTGCAGTGCAAGAACCAGCAAAATTCTCTACTGACAGGAACACTGTTACTGCTGTGCTGAAGTATAGCCAGATCGAAAAGTCCTGAGGTCAGGAGTCATCTCTTTGGTATCAGCACGAAAAGTCCTGAGGTCAGGAGTCATCTCATTGATATCAGCATCCAAACCTGTTACCAGTCTCATCTGGCCCACTCCTGGTGGAACTGGAGGCTGAATTTCTGCCTCCAGTCTCTTGTTACCAGTCTCATCTGGCCCACTCCTAGTGGAACTGGAGGCTGAATTTCTACCTCCAGTCTCCTTGCACAAATGATGTGACAGCAGACTTTTGGTGCTAATTATCAGCACTAACCTTCTGATTGTTGTGAGCTTCCTTATATAATTATTTTTCTTATTATCTGCCTTTATCATCGCTAATTATCAGCACTAACCTTCTGATTGGTGTGAGCTTCCTCATATAATTATTTTTCTTAATATCTGCTTTTATCATCATGGAATCATAGAATATCCTGAGTTGCAAGGGATCCACAAGCATCTTCGAGTCCAGCTCTTGGCCCTGCACAGGACATCCCCAAGAATCACACCATGTGCCTGAGACATTGTCCAAGTACTTTCTGAACTCAGTCAGGCTTGAGGGAATGACAACTGTCCTGGGGAGCTGTTCCGGTGCCTAACACCCTCTAGGTGAAGAACTTTTTCCTGACATCCAGTCTAAACCTCCTCTGACCCAGCATTGTGCTGTTCCCTCATGTCCTGTCACTGGTCACCAGAGAGAAGAGATGAGTGCCTGCCCCTCCTCTTCTCCTCATGAGGAAGTTATAGACCACAACAATGTCTCTCATCAGTCTTTTCTTCTCCAGGCTGAACAAACCAAGTGATCTCAGATGTTCCTCATATGGCTTCTCCTCTAGACCCTTCACCATCTTCATGGACCTCCTTTGGACCCTTTCTAATAACTTTATGTCCTTCTTATATTATAGCACCCAAAACTGCACACAGGACTTGAGGCCACAGGAGCACAGTTATGTGCCAGGAACATTAGAAGGGATGCTGGACTACACAGGAGACACTCATTCTGTATTACTGGTTTCAGTGTCTCACTTGCTGAATCCACTTGAGCAATGCTCTTTGAGTCTGCACTTTATAAGATCTTTGGTTTTCCCTCCACTTTTGGTCTTAATTTTCTTAAAAAAGCTTCCTTTTCTGGGAAGGCATAAGTTCTGTGTTTGTAAATGTAAAGTCTTTTTGTGACCACTGACAATGCTGAGCACATATCACAGTAATTTCCTAGTTTTTTTCTCAGTGACAAATTTTTTATTTTCCCTATGTACCTTTCAGTGAAAGCCATGTTTTTGCTGAAAGCAAGAGCCAGGAGATGAACTTTAGCATCACTCAATTCTTGCTGGATCTCTGTGAAAGACAGAATGGGTATTTTTGCATGAATAGTAACGTACACAGAATGTGCTGACTTCTCAGCCTTGTGTGGGAAAATGCCTTATGCTCAGTCTTCACACAGAGCATCACACTTGCTTACTTGGGTCTTCCCCCTCTCCTCCTGGCCAATGGGAATGACTGTTTTAACTCAATTTTGTGAGTGCAGTCGCTGTGTTCCACAGCAGAGAATAGATCTGTAGAAGATGTGCATATGGCAGGGCAGCACCATGCCATATGCAGCTGCAAACACTTTCTCCATAGGGTTAAAATTCTGTATCAGCTCTCTAAAAAATAATTAGTTTTTCAATGGAAAGGAAATAAACTGGTTGGCTAGGTACTATGCAGGGAGCTTTTAATTAAAACATGTTTAAATCTGATTCTCTCAACTGTCAAAGAATTGAATTCATGAATTATGTTTGCTACAGTTGTTGTTGTTGGGGTTTTTTTTTAGTAACACTGTAAAGTTCTCTCTGTGCAGTGCTGTAGGGGATGGATGGTAGCTCCTGACAGATTCAAACACAGCTGGCTGAGAACACTGCTGGTGATGGATGAACGATGTCTCTGTTATTGCCCCTGTATACATAAATGATGGGCTTGCTTTATTTATTTATAAGATGTATCCAATTACACATCTCAGAGCAAATGTCCACCATTCAGTATAGCACACAATATTGGCATTAAAAAGACAATCCCTGAAATCAGTGATCAATGCGTTTTCCTCACTCTTCAGAGAGAGACTGAAATAAGAGGTAAACCTAAAATTCAGCAAATTCAAGTAAGTTCTTTTGGGACCTACTCCTTGTCTGTAAGAAGTGACTGAAATTCAGTCAGGGAAGCTGTTGTTTCTGCTCTGACCACACACAGAGCACCAAGTTCACCTAGGATCACTCGTCCACGTGGCGTGGATGGATCAGTCCCATATGTACAAAGGGTCAGAGTCTGTTACCAGACAGTGATGGCTAAAGTTCACTAGGCTGTTACCAACTGGGATGTGTTTCAGTGAAGTAAGCCATCCTAATTATTTGAAGTGGAGGAGAACGAATGGTTTTGCCCTTCATGTAGCTTCAGCATAGGGTTTTGAGTGTTTCTACTGTGTATCTGTGGGTGTGTGTACTCACAAGAGGATCCAGTTTAGAACTTGAGATGTCCCACCGACACTAGAAACTTCACAGTGTAAATTGAGTTAGTTTCTTTTATCAAGTAGGTTAGCTATATTCTGCAATAATTATTTGTATTTTCCTATGGAAGAGTTAGTCTGGATTCAGATAGATGTGCAGATAATCAGGGTGTTAAACAGTTTTAGACTTGAGATTTGGTTTGTCCTTTTGGAAGGCATCTAACATCACAGTAGGGTGAATGCATGATCATTCATGGTTTATATTGTAGAGCTGATGCACTGTGAATTCACCTGTAGATTTCTGATGGTAACTTATTGATATAGAAGTAGCTTGAATTACAGTTACAGCATAAATTGATAATGGAACCAAACCCTGAATGTTCCAACCTAACAAGGAGTAAGTCTCCCATCCATTCCTCAATTCCAAATGCAAGCATGTTACCTGTTACAGGAGTGCTGGAGTCAGCTAGAAGGCACAAATCAGCCCTACCTGGTCTAGGTATTGTGCCAGTGAAAGCAGACAGCAATATATACTGACAGAGCTCCAAAACATTTGGAAAGATGTGGAGCAGAAGCTCCAAGACAGAGAGCTGGCATGCCAATGGAAGTGCAAGAAGCAGTTGAGCTAAGCTATGTTTGTGGTTTTCACAGGGGTGGTTGCTGTTTGGCTTTGCCACTTTTGTGTTGTCCACTGTCCTCTCCTGATGGTGAGAGCCCAGCAGTTGATCAGGCCCCTTTCCAGAGGCACTGGAGAGCAAGTATGCCTTATTCTTTGGTTCTAGCTCCTGTGAAGTGTAGCCAATGTGTATGTTTCTCATTCTGTCTTGCTGGCTGTGTCTGAAATGTGGTGTTTTCATGTTGGGTATGATAGTTCTGCAGGAATTTGTATTCACAACAAAGTTTAGCAAGACAGAATTGTGACTACTAGGCAGATCATTTAGAGCTTGGTTTGGTTTCTAGGAACAGAGGCTTACTAGTTATTTTTCACTGGTTTCTGTGCTATTATGTTGTTGTGATAATCTTGGCAGGAATCTGTCACTCTGTGTTGGTATAATTGAAACTTGTTTTCCCTGAGGAATCACTCTGCTGTTTGTTTTATTTGTTTACTGACATTGACAGAGATCCTAATGGCTTTTAAAACCCAATTTGTGCATCACTGAATATCCTCCAAAGAGGAAAATAAAATTAACTTTATCAGTGAAATAGGGTCCCCCATGCAATGCTTTGTCTGGGTCTTGGGCCCCACCTGAGCACCCAGATGTGGGTCTGGAAATGGTGTGGTGAGCTGCATCTTCTGATTATTTCTAATTCTGTCTTCAGGGCTTTTGTCATTAAGATACTTGAAAGGATAAATGACAATAAGTTATTTAGGACATCAGTGTAAGTTGGCCAACTTTGCCATATGAGAAATAAATTATCTTTTGCTTTTATTAAAAAGAAAGTTAAGATAACAAAACAATAACCATAGTAAAATTCCCCTTTTGGGGGGATATACATGATGGTATCGCTTATTATTGTAATAAATCAGGGTAATTAAGTGTTTAGATTTTTTTAAAAATGAATGATATCAAAGTATATTTGCATTTATTTTGTCTTAAGCCTTTGAAGAACGTAAGTGAGATTGTTTGGACTACTCATGTTGATAATGCCCTGCTGAATTGTGGTTATGGATAGATGTGTGGCTCATTGCATGCCATACTCCAGAGGAAAATGCAGACAAATAAATGAAGAGGCCCAGGACAGACATTCAGGAATGGGGGGGTTTCTTTCAAGACTAAAGAAGGCAGGATAATATTTTTAACACCCCAAAGCTGTGGGTTTGCACTGGATGAAGATTTAGGTATATTTTTATTTTATTGAAGTGACTTAGACCATCTCTAATTACCGTTTGACACGCTCCCTTGTCATTCAAGCACATAGGGATTGTCCAGGTTTCAGTGAACTCTGACTGTGAACGTTGTGAGGAGATAAGTTTGGAAAATACTGCTGATTTTAAAGGTTATCTGTCAGTTTGTATATATACAACTATGAGCTAAACCAATCTGACCTCAAACCATAATAACACTCTGCCTTTCTTACTGTGTATCTGCTTTGCAAATCTCCCTGACTTTGATAGCACTATAATAATAATAATAGATCTGCAATATTTATGTTGTCTCTTCTGAGGAAGTGTTCTAATGTGTCTTGGAAAGGTGGGTAATTAGTGTTATCTCCTTTTTTACAGAAGGTAAATTAGAGGTACAGAGAGAGAACCCTGACTCCCACCTCCTTGTTCTCATTGCTTGGCTTAGTAGTACATATCTTGACAATATGCACTTTGAGTCTGATTTGTATTTTTTTATTGCCTTGCAGTGCCTAGAACAAGGATTTTGGCTACTGGTGGCGCATCCCACAATAAAAAGATCTTACAGGTAAGTAGAAAATTAAATCCTTTGACCTGAACTTGCAGTTGCATCTTCATTTTTATTTTGCTGTACTGAATTCAGATCTCTGCAGCTGTACAGGCAGGTGTGGATGTATGATTGTGAATCTGCTCCAGGTCTTTGGGGCTTTTCTTCAGGTTTGGTGTGGAAATCTTTAGTCCAATGTTAATTTTATATTGAACTTAAAGGTTTTTTCACACTTGACTAGTTTTATGAGTGTGTATCTGAAGCACTGGTGTTTTCCAGGTCTCATCACATGTTTACATCCAATCAATCAGCAAAGAAATTGAGAAGTAACTTCATATAATACCTGAGTTTTTTGTAGTTTTTGTCATTCAGGTAAAAGTTGAAGCATGAATTACTTGAAACTGAATGGGGATTTTGCTGGTGTTGAACACTCAAAAACCCCAACCAAACAGAACCTCCCCATATAAACCCCAAACTCCTGCCCTTGTTGTTCTAATTATCTGTTACTTATTAGTATCATATCATATACTGGGAGGAGACTACAATTCTGTACAGTCTGTCCTCTCTCTTCCCACCTTCCTCTTCTGCTGCTGTTGCTGCATATGCAGCCTGGTTATGATCTTTCATCCATCTTCTTGAGAAGAGAGTACCATGTGCTCTCTGTTTCTGCCCACTGAGATTTGGCAAAGCCTTGCTTACAAAAGAGGCCTCTCACCTGGCTTTCTCTAGCACAGAGCCAGACATCTGGATTGGGATTCACGCTGCCCAAATCCAGCCATCTGTGATGTGATGTCTGTTTACGATCTGTCAACCCTCTAACAGTCAGGGGAGATGGCGTCAGTCAGAGTGCAAAGGAAACTGGATGGTGTTTTAACTTAACAAATGTAAATGTGTCTCTCTGGGTGAGCCAAAGAGCTTTCTGGACTCCACAGACTGCCCTGACAAGCTCCCCTTTCCCTGTAGGCTCTGACGCTGACCTGGAATTAGACATGTACACTGAAAGGCACCTGACTTAGTTTTGGGCCAAGTCTTGTTGCTGACGTTAGTCAAGATGGGGTGAATTGTTTTCTGGAGATGCCAGTCCCTTTCCTTCAGCTTGGGAGAGTAGAGGCCAGCCCCAACTGTGCAAGATACTCTTGGACAATTGCAGTCATAGGAAAGGAGGGTTCTCTGCCCCATAAAACCCTGAGCTGGAAAAAATGGGGGTGAAGAGCAAAAAGCAAAAAGTTGTTTCTCCTAGGGCATCTAAACCACTTGTTTGTAAAACCATTGGTTGTACAGCTGATTGGGGAACTGCAAATTTGGCATGTTTTGCCTGCAGATGTCACTTCTCTTCATCTGCTTTAGCTATTTTGCCTAGGAACTTGACGTTGGAAAATTAACTGATAGGTTAATTGCTTAAAACATTGGTCCTTACAGGAGTAATTCTGCTAAGAATACATCAGGAAGGAGATTCGATTCCTAGATGAGTTTGTTTTTAAAGCTATATTTCCAGTTTAGGTGCCAGGAGGATCTCCTTGCTGTGGAATGAAGGCAAAGAACTGAATATTCTTGTAGCATGCCATTCAGCAACATACACAGCTGGAAAGTCGGGGGCATTGGAGTGGTGACTGGGGTCCTTGCTTTTCACGTGTAACATTTCAGCTGGTTTTAAAACTCATTAGAAGTGTCTTAAAATAATATGATCAATACAGTGTCATTCACTTAATTCAATCACTGGTTAATTGGATCTTTCTTTTTAATTTGATCAAAACCTCAGAAACCATATCAGTGGCATGAGGAATAACAGCTTTCACCCTTATCATGGTCAATTTTGGATAATTTGTTCCAGGGCTACAAAAGACTATCATTTAATTAATCAGCGTTCAGTGACTCCTATATTTTACACTGCAAAGGAGGTAACTTAGGAAAATCTGTTAAAAAAATTTAGTAGGACAGCTTTCTCCACGGTTCTGGGAAGCTTTTTATAACATACATGGTGCTGATTAATGACCACATGAAACACAGTGAAATATATTTAACAGTAAAACCTCTAACAGTTTCTTTTAAAATTATTCATGAGAGATACCACAGTTTCAAATGACTTACCCAATATATGAACCTTGAGTAATTTTAATTTTAGGATCATGTGGCACAAAAATTAGTTATTTGTAGTATTACAGCACTTATTAGCATTCAGTATTGAGTAGACCTGCATTGTATAAGGCTCTGCAGAGATTTGTAGTATTACAGCACTTATTAGCATCCAGTATTGAGTAGACCTGTATTGTATAAGGCTCTGCAGAGTTGCAAACAAAAAACCCAAGCAAGTTGTTGTCCAAAGGATTGTATAATTCAAGTGTAAGACAAGAAATACCTATTAAGAGATGAGATGAAGAATGGGGAATGTGCTGAAACAAGATGTAGTATTGGCTGGCAGGATGGGCAGTGGAATCGGTGCTTTGTAATTTCCAGAGGGCTTTTTAATAGATTCCATGATTAATTTTTCATTTGTCCTCTAGCATTGACACTCATGTGTTGCTCAATCCTTGCTTGCAAGTGAAGTTAGGCAATACTGACTTGGCTGTCTTAGCAGAAGAGAGCTTTTCAAGTATATAAGCTTAGGCTTTCATTGGATTCTAGTTAGCAACCAGCCACTTTTGTTTAAAATTATGAAAATCTGTGATTTTCAAAGGTTTTGGTTTGCAGAATTTCCACAAACTTTCAGAAAAAAAAGAAGAAAAATCCTTTAGAAATTTAACATACGTTCACTATGTTTTTCTATAGTGATATGAATTGAATTTCTTAGTCATCTTTTACGAAGCCCTGGGGCCTATCATCAGTAGGGTTGTAAATTCCTGGATCAGGGTTGCACATCACTAATCCAAGAAGTCTGGATTCCTGGACAATCTGGCCTTATTTTAGACTCAATTGCATGGATGTAATTCGGATGAAACACTTTTCCCTTGGGCAAAAGTAATAAAACCAGCACAAGTTAAATCTGAATTGTTACCTGCTTCTTGTATTGCTCAGCCTGAAGGGCACCTGCAGTCCTAGAAGTGATTGAAACCAAAATGGAAAGCATTTGTTGACAATGATGTCTTTGGAAAAGAGTTACTTAACCTCCCATGTCCCTATCCAAGTATGTCTTAATTTCCCCCCCTTCTGTATTATTTTTGTAAACCGATGCTGTGAGAAGTGCACACATACTGAGTGAGTGGAGATGCCTGGTGTTGGTTTCAATGCAGAATGATGTGTGGTTGACTAACTTTAGTATCTGTTGGATAACATAACAAATTCTTTGCTTGTAAAATTTTATTTGTCTTGCTCAGGCCAAGCAGAGAAGTGTCTCAATATATCTTCATAGCTAAGCTTCCCTCAAATACAGGAAAATTGCTGGTAAACATAGAGACTGTGTAACCAGCTCCTGTGTCATTCTTCCTGCTAATCCTAATATGATGGGAATGGTGGAGATGAAGAAGACAGGCCTAGCATGCCTTCATATTGCTGGATCTTTATTTTTATCCAAGCTGAGAGCTGAGGAGTCATGACTAGTTCTTCTCTCCTTCCTTCCCACTTGAATCAGCCATAAATGTGGTGGAAGAAAACAAGCTGCAGTTGTGGGTTCCTGAGAACATCTCCTTATCCTGAAGTGAATCTTTAGCACAGGCTGCTCGTGTGGGATTTTGAAGGAGATGAAGCTTGAGCCCAGGCTCCTCTGAACTTGTAATCAAGTGCTTGGGAGAGAAATGGGACTTAATTTCCTGGCTGCAGTTACCTCTCTAGCTCAAATTTACCAACACCTTGTTGTGTGACAAGTTCAGGACACATTGCTGCCCATGGTGCTTCTTTCTGTGGACACCTTGTTGTGTGACAAGTTCAGGACTCATTGCTGCCTGTGGTGCTTCTTTCTGTGAGTTCCTAAGTGCTTGGCTGGGGCATATGATAGTTGCTTGTTTTCCTCAGCAGTCATAGGGGATTGCTTATCCCTTGTCTTTCATGGACTTGTGTAACTGATGCTTTGCTACTTCTCAGGTCCTGTCTGATGTGTTCAACGCGCCGGTGTACACCATCGATACCGCCAACTCTGCTTGTTTAGGAAGTGCTTACAGAGCAATTCATGGTAAGGCTGCAAGGAGATGCTTGAGAGTGGTCTGGGCATTTAATTTCAGTTGGTTAATACTTAGGATTAACACTACGGAAAATGAGGGGAGAGTAAAGCTGTGTGCATCTGACTGGAAGGTCACTCAGGTCAAAGAGGGTTATTTGCTCTTAGTACACTTGGATTAGGCCCAAGAATAACATTTACATTATAATTCCAAGTCAGGTGGCTGCTTCTCAACCAAGGGATAGGGCCTGGAAAGTATAACATTTACATTATAATTCCAAGTCAGATGGACCTGGAAAGTGTTGATACTGTCCAAGGAAGGTCTAGGACCTTAATGTGTTGAGTTAGGACCTCCATGGAAGAATGCAGCCAACTGAAGGTGCTGGTGTAGCCTGCTGCCCCAGTTTGTGGACTGGATTGTAAACTGCATTGCTGAAATGGTCAAACCAAACAAAAGGTTGATCCTAGCAAAGCAGATCAGTGAGGGCAGGGACAACAGGACCAGTAATACTGATGGCTAAGGAAATGTTATTAAACCTATATTTATCTTCCAGCTTTTAAACATCAAGTTGAAGGATATATATAAGGTGTCCTGGGCTCCATGCACTTTCTCTTGTAAAAGCATAAATCTTGGGATACGGCTAGGCTGACCAGTCATTTTGTTTGCTGTACTACATCACTCACTGTAATGCAACAGCCCAAGCCCCAGATTTAAAGTGTTAATTAACTTATATCTATTAATGCATGGAGGTGTGTGTCAAGGGTTGGCCATCAGCTATTTAAGACCTAAATCCCAGGCATGAAATTTTATTCATGTATTTTAAAACAGTTTGTAGTATCTTGCAGCTAAACAAATCAAGGAATGTATATCAAATTCTGAAGCCCTTACTTAGACCAACTTTTGTTAGCCTCAGTTTTTCTGATTAGAAGCTTTAGGATTTGAACCTTAAGATGTGGACAACTTCAGTACAAGTTCATGTGAGATCATGGAATTGCAACAAGTGTGGAAAGGATAACATCAGCCATCAGAAGAAATCAGCCAAGTTTTAATTTTAGAAGCAAATTCTGCTGTCACATTATAGGATTTGACGTCTACACACTCTCTTGCATTTGAAAACAGCACAGAAAATTGCCCAGCCAAAACCTGAGTCTGTGTGTTTGATGCACACAGCATGCTCTTCTTTGTACTTCAGAAAAGGCACAAGGGTTCCATCAGGCAAAGTGCACTTTTCAGGACAGTGGAAACAGCACTGTTGGATTAGCTATATGTTTGAAGCCGCAATGGAACCATTTTTCCACCTTGGAGAAAAAGTTTCCAGACTGGTTTTCTCCATACTCAAACTTTGCCTACTGCTTCAGAAGCCAGCAGAAGCTTCCCAGCACCTAATGCTGCAGGCAAATTCCTTGTCTGGGAATGCATGTGAAACGTGGAGCCATCATTAAAGTTTGTGCAGATATTTTGTATGTAGGGGAGATGTGTATTCCCTCTGCCAGTTTGGCATATGAAATGTGGAGGCTTGGCTGACAGACCGTTTGAGTGAAGATTTCAGATGCCATGCTGATGGAGGGACTCCTCAGCTCAGGTCCTCTGCCAGCCAAGCCCCAGGGGCTTGCTGTGTGTGCTTCTGAATGGCACTTTTGATTGATGCTTTCGGCTGACTCACTGTTGGCCAGCCAAAGGAACTGAGGAAAAGTGAAGGCTTGCTAATATAAACTAAATACTGATGGCAAGGGCTCTCTAATATTGCTACAGTGTACATCTGCAAGTGGGGTGTTCCACAGTTAGCCTGGGGTACTTAGCAGGTGTACAAAGAGCTCCTGAAATGCTGTGATTCACTCACAAAGCAAAATGCTGTAGTAGCAGAACTCCTCTATTATTCTGCTTCTGTATATATAAATATATTTAACCATTTGTAGCATATTTTCTTGAAAGTGTTTTCACTTTTCTTTCATGTTTAGTCACATTTTGTCCTTGAATCCCTTGCTTCCACATATTTTCACTGCTGTTTACTGTATTGTTGTAACCATAAATAATTACTGATATTGTTGAGTAGCATTTTTGCTGCTTAGCTATTCCCCAGAGTTTGAATTGAGTGATTGGCAAAAACTCAATCACAGAGTCCCCACTTCCCAGGCTAGCACATAGGAATGTAAGATCCTCTGCCATTTATCCTTCACTCCTGAATGCTGACCTGACCAGAGAAGATCAATATAATGTATTAATTTGCCGGGGAGTCAAGGCACATCCCTCATTGTGTTTTTTTGCATTGATCAGGATTGTGGTTCTTATTGCAGGACTTGTAGCTGAGAGGAATGTGTCTTTGGCTGATGTTGTGAAATTAGCACCAGAGCCTAGATTGGCTGTTACACCCACTGCTGGGGCTGAGGAGGTGAGCAAGTTTGGGAATACCATTTTTCTTTTCATTTCCTGTCTGCTTCAAAATGTAGTAGTTTCTTGTAGTAAAGTAGATTAATTTAAGAAACACTTGGTTACACAATTCTTATTTCTTATTGTAAAGACAGAGTTGGTTTTGGGAGATCTTTGTAATGATGCAACAGTCTGATCACTCCATCCATGTCTGTGAGATTGGATTTTTCCTAACAGGGTGTGGTCAGAGAGCTAAATCTGTTCCTGAAGGGACAGAAAAAGTTATATAATAGGTTGAATTTGGATACAGGCCAGTCAGGTTATAGCTGATAATCTTGACAAAACAGTCTTGTTTGCAGAAGGCAGCATGGAAAAAAGGGTGGGGATGGTGTTTTCTGGCCTCTTGGAAAACATCCCTAAAAATCCTTCCTGTCTGATTGTAAACAGTGGTCAGCAATTGTATATCTTCACTTGTAGCTCCCACTTGGAAAACATGCCAGCTGGGAGGATTCAGTAGGTCTTTGGTACTGTGCCCATCCTGTGAATTTCAGCACGTCTGAAGGTGAAGCTTGTGCTTTATGGCTCATGTTGATAAAAACATAAAGATAGTTGTTGCTAACTATGTGATTCCAACCCTTGTAAAACCAAGGAAGGAATCATTGTCTCAGGTTCTCTAGTGCAGCCCTGCACCTCTCACTATCAGGTGCCAAAGGCTTTAGTTTACAACAGCTTCTGGAATGAAATGTGCAGTAATAAATAAACAATGCAATATAGCAATATTCCTAGAGAACAGAAGTTTAAATAACAAAGGTGAATCTAACTGTCTTCAGCTGTGCAAACCCCTTTTTTGCATCAACACGCTCTACCATTTATGAGATTTGGATGTGCCCTAACTACAGGCAACAAGGTTTTAAAGCTTTTATTTAAACTGGGAAATTAATGATCTGCCAAAACTACTAACTCCTAGCTACATGTGTAGTGGAGCACCAGATATCATCATGAGTAATAATAGAAATGATCATGCTGCATTGTGCCTGCCAGCGTATTATTTAATTATTAACTGAGATGGAGGAGCTCAGTAATCGAATAGAAGTCCCCTTCAGAAATATTAAGACATTGAATAATTTAAACTTGATTGATCTGATCTCATTTACTCAACCTTCCCCCCTCATTTTAAAAGATAAAATAATTAACAGCAATGGCCTGTGCCGTGTGTGATGCAGCTGAAGCTCTCTGCAGGGAACACACTTCAGAGGCACATCCCTGGTGTCTGATTCAACTTCACATTGCTGCCCTGCTCACCCCCAAAATGCTTTCTGCTGAAAAGCTGCCAGGCTGGCTTGGGTGGAGGTGGGGAGTGCTCAGAGACCTTCTTCTGACCCCCTGGTGCTGCTTCAGCTGCAAAACTCAAGGGCAGGGAATACAGCTGTCACTCACAGGGGCCTTGCAAGCACCTTGTACCCCTGCAGGGGCCAAACAAACCTGACTGGAAAGATCACTGGGGAATTCACCTACCTCCTTCTATTTCACTCTCTGCATAAAATAGCCTGGAAGCGAAAAGAGTTAATTATCTCACTCTCAATACTTTTCTTCTCCTTTTCCACATGGTTAGACCTGGTTCTCATAGCACATCTTTTTATTGGTTTTAAATGATGTACAGCAGTGAATTATTGCCCCAGTAGATAGGAATGAATGATAGGGAAGGTAGTGGCCAAACAGCATGTGAAGGAATAACCATTCCTGTTCTTTAGCTTAGCTTTCCAGCTTCATTTCATTAAAAGCAGCTTCTTGCAATTACACATTCCACACCATTTATCTTTTCTTCCTGTCTTATAATTTTGCAGTTGATAGTGGATTCCCTGGCTAGTTTCATGGCTGTGAAACTGCAGAAAGCCAGAGGGCCTGTCAGTAATACAGTGTGTTAGCATGAACAGTGCAGTAAAAATTCATAATGCAATGAGTCAGTTTGATTCTGTTTTTTTACAGAGCTGCATCTCCCTGTCCATCCAATTTCATTCTGTTGAGGTTAGAGCCTTTCACTTAAATGATGGTTCTTTTTATAAACTTCAAAGTCATCCCGAGGTTAAGTTCTGTCTTGCTGAGGAGCTCTTCTGAAAGAGTCTGGCTCACCAATGTGAAATTCCCCGGACCACTTCTTTACATTTTTTGGACGGCTACAGCTAGATCTTGGCAGGGTGGAGAAAAAACAGGTCATAACACAGCAATCTGCTCTGGTTTCATCCTTTCTTCCTGGTATAGGTTGGAGACAACATGTGTTAGATCATTGCAGAGAGGAAAACCTCCTATAGACAGAGGTCAAATGGGACAGTTTGATGTAGCTGCTTCTTCATTGCCAAGGCTTATGCACGCAGTAGGGGTTTCCAGGAACCAAAAATGCAAAAAGTGTTTCTTTGACTGCTGAGGGATCATTTGTGATAATGAATGTGATTTCAAAAAGTAAGGGCAGGGCACACAAAGCAGCTCTTCTGGTTCAATTAAACTGATGGGCAGGTAAAATAGAATAAAGTCACAAGATGGGGAACAGAGAGCTTGTGATGAGTGATGAATTAGTAGTTAGTTCCAACTTGTCTGGCAAAAATGTGGCTTTATCCTGTTCCAGACCATCCTGCCTTGAAGAGACCATTTCAAAGAGGATAAATCCCTCTCTGTGGCTGTGACCCTAAGTCTCTTAGTTGAACCTGATTTCCCAGTATTTTTGTAGGCTGTGGGTGCTCATTTGAGCTTGTTTCTAATTCTGTCCATACCCAAATGGGTCATAAGGTGTTCTGGTGGTAGCCACTGTGGTGATAGTCCTTGGCCACTTACTCAGCCAGGCTAGCTCAAGTCAATCATCTGTTGGTTAGCCTGATGAATCCTTCTTCCCTATTTTCAGAATAGCAAAAATGAAAGAGTCATCTCAGCTCTTTGGGGCCTCCTCTCTCCCCCAAGGAGAAAGATTAATCAGAACCACAAAGCATGACAAAAATAACCAGAAGATTCTAGACCAATAAATATATGTTAATAGTGAGAAAGAATCTATTATTCCAGCATTAGAATTCAGCTCTATTTTAATAATCTCTTAAAACAGAGATGGTTGGCTAGTTGGTTAATTAAGCAAAAAAAAAAATAAAAAAGAGAGAGAACAAGATTATGTGGGATTTGGTCACTTGTGTTTTTACAAGCTGTGTGCCTATGATGTAGTGTCAGATTGGTTGTGATATTGTCCTGTGGGGTTTTGCAGGGAGAAGGCACAGCACAGCTCACTGCCTCTGGATGTGTGATTTTTGATAGCATTATTGACTCTGCTGAGATGTATTCATCCTGCAAAACTTCAAGAAGGGAAAATGTAAACCTAACAGATTTTCTTGACTTTGGTGAATTGTCCTGTAAATAGGTGGATTTATAGTAGTGACCCTATTACCCAGGAAGGTTATAATGACCTATTTATTGATTTAAAATAAATATATTTTGTTGAGTTAGATTTTGGAGGGGGGAGATTGTTTTCTAGAATTGGTTTAGGTTGGTAATTTTGTGCAAAGTAGGTAATAATAATACAACCACAAAAATATAATCAGTATTGATGGGAGTTTGATTAAGGTGATTTATGTAGCCAGTAATTTTTTTAACCTATTAAACTGATTAAGATAGGTTTGCAGAATGGATAACTGAAGTAAAATGAAGTAACTCTTTGAGATGTGGTTCCTTGGAGAAGTCTTCAGAATATTTTAGAACACTGTTGTATTCTTTCTGCTTCCTGAGTATTCTTTCTGTGTTAAGAAAAGTGAACAACTGCTATGATTTGAAAAATAAAACTACTCTTTTCTTCTTAAGGAAATCTCTGAGAAACTTGAGTTTAGTTTAAAAAAAAAGGAACCTATCAAAACTAACAAGTGTTTGTGAGAGACTGATTAATTTTAATCTATTCAGGGTAGATTAAATGTACTTGGGTAGATTAAAATTAGATAATCATCAGCATCATCTTTGTAATTTGTGAGTTTTGAATTGCTCCAATGATTGGCTAACGGAGCGTTGCAGGAGATAGAAGGATCCATGTGGATTGTCACTGGTAGTAATAATTTGTAGCTGGTTTTGCTTTTAGAGGATGGCAGGGATAACATAAACAGTAAAAGCCCTATTGAGTACATAGGGTGATACTGTGGTGACATATGGTACGAGGGTGATACATTTGATTTGGACTAGAGAACAAGGGAACATTTGTATGAATGCATTTTTCAGAGAGAGTGGGTTAAGATATTCTCTGCTATAATGTGCTATTTGTCATTAGCATTTTCTTTAGTTAGTTGTGGGACTGTCAGTGTGTGACCAAATTGTCCCAGGAGAGAAGTTCAGGGTTTGTAAATGAAGCAATCAGAGTACTGCTGATGTTGTTGGGTATGCTATAGAGATAAGCTGGAGAAAGGGCCTTAATATAGCAAGGACAATTAAATTATGGACAATAATAAGGTTCATGTTGTGATACATGTAATTACTTTTGTTAAATATCAAGGTTTGATAGATTAGATTTGAGGCCATGTCAGAGAGGGAATTTATGTTCTTAGGTTTTTATGCATCATTGAGAGTCCTTTATTCCCTTTGGACCTCAATGATAAAAATACATCTATATCATTGCTTCAGGAAAAAGGCTTCTGGAACTGCATAGGAGGAGTTGCCCAAGGTTCTGTGGAGACACTTCAGTCGTGACAGATGTGGTGAAGCATCTTTCACAACTCTGAACAGGCAGAGACACAGTGCACACAGACTGTGCACTCAGGCCATGTTCTCAGTCAGTGCCATTTGGCTTTTCTTCTCTGTGCTTCATGGGAGCAGCACTGCTTTGGCCCTAAACTTCAGCTGGTGTCAAGCTGGCCTGTAAAATACTGCTCGTGAAAAGCTTTGTAGTACTGCTGCACTTATCAGCCATGATAAGTATTATGGCCAAATTCCCTGAGGAGGAGGAATTTAAGACTTTGCTTATCCATCTGAGCTGAGCTCTGCTGCTTTTTACCCCAATAAACAGGAATAGAGTGCAAGAAATATTCTCAATTTTTTGTTTGCATTTTTTTAGGTGGTCCATAATGCAGCATTCATTTACACTAATGGCTGAGAAGCTTATTGCAAATGCCTGAATTTTCTCAATTAGCAAGCTAAGTGCTTAAGTCCAATAAACAGGCAAAGAAACTGTATTAGTAAATGTGGTTGTTCATTTATTTTGACACATTTTAATTTAGAGTGATGTATTAACAACAATATTTCCCAGCCTTCTGGTAAATGTCTTGTGTGTATTTTGTAAAAATACTGATGGGTAAGTAATATGGAGAATGCTTTCTCAGTGCCTGAGCTCACTTACCAATGCAGCTCTGTTGTGCTGAACCTTTGCAAAGAAACGCTTAGGGTTTATCAAATTTACAGAATAGCAAAGTAAGAAATAGCCAGTCATTATTATAGATGCTTCAGTGAATAGAGGAGCTGGTTTTGTTTGACATACTGATACTCCCAGTATAGCCATAGTTGCCTGCTCAATGTTTTGTTTACTCTGATGTGCATATTTGGCAGAAATGGGAGCAATAATATTCTTTGGGAACATGAAAAGAATATATATCTATGAAATTCTCTGAGCCCCCAAGGCCCTCATGTAGTTAGTTAAATATACCATGCTGAGTAATGTGACATTTCATAATAGTGGTGCATTTTATTTTCTAACCCCATAAATCTGCATAAATCTCCATGGATCTCAATATCACTGTTCTGTGGAGAAGAGGAGTTGGGGCACATACATGTTAAATGACTTGCCCAGGGTCTCTGAACGAGTCTGTTGCAGAGGCAGGAGTGAGTGGGTCTCTCTGAATCAGTGAAAGGCACTGTAAGACTCAGTCACTCTGAGATGGGTTTAAAAACTGTCCTGATGATACCTTGGCTAACAGACATAGTCTCTTTCCACTTGCTGTAGATGCTCCTTCTCTTTTTCCCCTTCATATATTTAATCTGTTGTGGAAATGTATTTTAACTTCTATAACATCTGGTTTGTAAAAAGGAGGAGTTGATCAAAACAGGCTCCTTCTGCAGAATGTGTCCATTAAGTCACTTCCACCTGTCATTGTTGAAGGTGGAAATGGGAATGAAGAGAGAAATCCAGGCTTGACTGGTAAGACTGAAATGGTCATTCAGGAAGAGGCAAACACAGAAGCAGATATTTTGCCATCAATTAAAAGACAAAAAACCACTCCTTTTTTGATTTCCTAGATGAGAAAACTGTGTGATGGGGATTTGTTCATCTGGTAAAGTGTGACTGTTACAGACACTGAGGCTACTGCAGCACTGGACATAGATAAGAACAATCCTGTTTTTTCCTACATCCTCATGGTTTCTGCCTGAAACATTTTTCCTCCTGAATTTTTCATGCATGTACATACACAGTTGTTGACTGTGGATCTTATCCAGAAAAGGATAAAATGCATTTAAATGCTAGATCTCACTTACTGATGAGGACAGTAATTCAGTTGACTGGGTATGATTCATTACGGCTCTATAACCCCTCTGATCCTGGAGCCAGGACTGAGGCTGCTCTGAATATGAGTAACATCAGTGCAGAGGGCTTGGAGACTAGACTGTCAGCCCCTAGGATTCATTGTGGCAGGGATGTGAGCTTATGGCATCCTCCTAAGGGCAGCTCAAGCCTGTATCAGACCCTACACTGGCTCCTGGCAGTCTCTTGTTTCTGCTTGTGCCAGCAAATGAGCAAAGCTGTCCTGGTATGGCTTGTCAAACTACTGATTTTATTAGGTGCACAGTTAAAACTAGAGAGAGGAGATAATGAAGAAGGTGTGTCTCCAGGATCTAGATGAAGTACAGTTTTTGGTTGGAGCCAGCAGTAGAGATTTGTTCAGGGTTTCTGCTATGTCATGGATCTCATCCATACGCAAAAGCATAGGGTGTGTTTTAATCTGGAGTTTTGAGTACTTTTGAGCCTTGATTCTTCTTTTTATGGATCGAAAAAAATCCTGGAGAATTGTAGTTAAGGAAATAAAAAAGAAGCTAATCAGATAGTTAGTGGATTGAAGTTGGATCTCCATTTGTCCCCCCGGGCCTGGGGGCTCAGGGAGTGAGGAACCTGGCCAGGAGCAGATCATGGATGGGAAAAGTTATGTCTGTGAAAAAATGGGAAGGAGAGAAAAAGCTTGACAGATACAGGAGTATGAGAGGGGTGGGAGGAGGAGTGTGCAGTGTATTTTAGAAGACCTTGGTCAGTATATTGGCCAAGGAGGACCTGTCTCAGGGTGGAGTTTGCCTGTGCTGGAGGGTGGCAGTGTGCTGATGTGCGAGGCAGAGGAGGAGGGGACAGAGGTAGTGATCCATTCTGGGGTAGTGGAGGGAGGCAAGGACAGGAGTTCTGCCTGGGTGATTAGGACAGCTATTACTGAGGGGGCATGTCACACTAGGAGAGGTGACTTTAGCTGAGCTGCTTCCTCTGGAAGTAATGACTTCTGCTTATAGCAAGAACACAGTCACAATAAGAGCAACCTGTGCATGTCATAAAATTAAGCTGTAAAGGTAATGGTAGAAGACTGTGACATTTGAAGAAGGAAAACTCTGCAGCATTTTCTTGAGCAAATTAGGGAAAAAATCCCCCAAACCTTATAGTACCTGTGGAGATGCTGCTTTTTCAGGTCTGAAGATGTTTTTTCACTGCAGTGTGATTTAAAAATCTATTTTTTCAGCCAAGACATATTTATTTCTCTTTCCTTTTTAGCTCTATCGTCCACTTCTGAGAAGATATGCTGAGCTTGAACAGAAGGTTATCTGCAACTCAGCCTCTTCTTGTCTTGCAAAATAGAAGCAAACAAAATTTATATGTCGTCTGACTGGACTCCCAAGGAGAAGATCAGAACAGATTTGCTTAGAATTTACTGGAGTTCTTTAAATCATTTTTGTTCCTCTTTGTAGACACATAATTTTTAAATGTCTGTGTTTGAGTGTGTTGGTGGGAAAAATTAAATTGTGATTGAAAACCTGATTAAAAAAAGCATCATATTGGTCTGTGTGTTTGTGGTTTCAATTTTTCTTAGGTACTTTTCAGATTGTGCTTGCTGTTTTGGAAAAGCTGGATGACAAAGTCAAGTCCTTTGTATATATGAGTCACTCTACCCATCTCTTGTCAGCTTTGATTCCATGTGTTTGGCATGCCAGCCTCTGCATACCTGTCTAGCACAGTATCTTAATCCCACAATTTCTCCTGCTTAAGTCTTTTGAAACTATCTTTCCGTTTGTCTGTAACTTGTCTATGTTTATATCTTTGCCTACATGAAACCAACAGAAAGCATAAGCACACTGACTTAATCCCATCTTTTTTTAATATGTGGAGAAGGCTGATTAAAGTCTTTAGACTCCCTGGGATCCTCTGAGAAGGGGAATTCTTGTTACATGACACTATGGAAAGTCTGTTGTGTGATAGAACATCATATAGTTGGGTTTCATAGATTGTGGAAAGCACAAAGGTCTTATGTGATACAGACACCATTGCACAATGTTTCACTTGAATCAGTTTTCTAAAAAAGAAAATAAGGGAAAAAACATGGGAAGGTTCACACTTCTCCTTTCTGCAGAGTCAGTTCATCTGCACACCAGTTTGGGGTGATTCTGTTTTCCTTTCCAGGTGTCATGATTGTGAAATTCTTTGTGTTGTGCTCTGCTCCCAACAGGGCAGGAAGGTCACTTTTTTTCCTAACACAGCCAATAATCCATTTCTTGCTGGGAGATCTCGAGCAGAACTAGTGACTGTCTTGCTCTGCTGCTACTCTTCAAATGTTTTAGTCCAGATTACTTAGCCTCTATCTGAGAAAATCTTAAAAGAAAATACAAATCAGGGATCTTTCTGCAAAGATGTGTGGAAGTTGCAGAATTTGAATGAACATCCTATGTCACCCTGTGCAAGTGGGAACACTTTACTGCACCATTCTGCAGTGCCGATATCTTTCCCTTAGGATAAAGTTTCTCATGGGAATAAAGCAGATTGTTTAATGAAAGTGACTGCAGCCTTTCTCCCCTTCTTGTAGAAGTTGTAATGTGCCTAGGCAATAACCCAGGGAATTGTAGGGAGTAGAGGATCTCTCTGTTAAGAGCTGGATTATGTCCCTGCTGGAGCTGGGTGACTCGAATTCATACTCTTCCCATTGCTGAGGCACAGGAACACTCTCCCTGTCCCTGCCACGTCTCTGTGGTGAGAGTGGGAACCCCTCGCGGTGACTCACGTCGGAGTGGCTGAGGAATGGACATGTTCCTCCTTTGCTCTCCCTTTTAGATTGAAGTGCTTCATTTGTGAGTACGAACAGTACCTTTTTTTGTTCACAACTGAATAATTACAGCTTCTCTCGATATTAGCATGATTACTCAGGAAGGTCAAGAATTACATTTCCGAGTTTCTAAAGCAGCCTTCTTTTAAGCAATTGCTTTAAAAGGTGGCACTAGAAATACACATCTATCTCTTTTATGTGCTTATTATTCTGAGTTCCAAGCTACAGTGCTAAAACATATAATATTTCTCTCAGGCCTCCACTGTCAGCAGTTGCTTTGTCATTGAGCAAGGCTGTAGAGAAGTGCAGGATTAATTAATACAAGTTAAACAATGCCTGCTAGTTTAAGCAGTGTTATCATCATCATTAACTTTTAGTTCTGCCTGGTTACTGGTTTGACATCAAGATTAAACACACAGGGAAGGAATTCAGAGAGGTCTTTTAGCTTTTGCAGTTTTGGTGACAATTTCCTGATTTGGTTTATCAGAGTGAGAAGACTTGTGTCTTGTAGCTTTGTGCCTTTATTTGCCTGTGAAATGAGAGGCTCGGGATCAGTTTCTTACTCAGCTGAGGAAGATTAAAGCTTACATTTCCCAGGTCATAGCACATGGTAGAACATTTCTAGATAATATCTTGGCTCCTAACAAAGTAGGGTATTGTCCAGATGGTTTAACTGCTTTCTGGGCCTGAGCTCTTCTCTGGGTAGGGAGCAGCAGACACTTCCTTCTCTGTTGGGCTGGGGCTCTCTGATGTCACTGGTAGCATTAGAGCGCTCTTTCCTCAGGGTAGCTGATGCACTGTGTGCTTGCTGCAGGAGTCCCTGAGAACAGACTCGGATGCAGAGCTCTGAAGGGCCTGGAGTGAGGCACCACTGAATTATAGTATTGCTGTGGTGATGGGTTTATTAGGGCTGGCCTCTGAGGAATGGTGTCTGGAGGATGAGAATTCATAGACAAGGTCTTTTTTTTTTTCCAGCTCACCAAAGTTGCACATGTTCACTGACTGGTGTCAGATAGAATAAGACTCAATAAATCTCCCCCTTGAAAGGTCCTTTGAAAAAATGCTGCTGTAGGACTTCTACCACTCTTTTGTTTTTGTCTTTCTAGGAATGCACATTAGCCTGCCAATGGCAGGATATGCCAATCCCGTGCACATCCCTTTAAAAAGTCCCCAGTGATGGAAGGATCTGGTGCCCCTTGATTTCCAAAATCATGTGGGTTTTTTTGCCAGCTTGTCTACCTTATGTTATTCTGGTTGTCTGGAGTAGAGGTGGTGTTAGGGTACCAGTTGGACTTGACAATCTTGGAGTTATTTTCTAACCTTAGTGATTCTATGGTTCTATGACTTAATTAACATCTTAGCTAACAGAAATCTAAAGGCAAGGCAATGTCTCCTACCTCTAAATACTTGCTAGAGGTTGATTCCCTCCCTCTTCCATATGGGACCTTACTATTCTTCAAGGTGAGCAACATGACATCTCCATCTTGTCTAGA